TTTCTGACCATTAAAACATTGTTCAAGTAGGTACATTTTTATCGCATTTGCTGGCAAAAACATGTTTCTGGTCTCACAAAAGTATACGCGAAGTCTTGGTTTATTTTGTCAACAATCATTTTGATTAAATAAATTTAAATAATTGGGTACATTTGCATTACCTGGAAATTTCTACTTCGCGTAATAATAGACAAGTCATTAGACTGTAGCTACCAATCAACGTTAAACTCAACAAACTCCCAAACTAATTGAATCAAATTACTGGCAATAAGATAACGCCAAATATCATGAGTTGGAGAATTTTATCAAGCTACTGATAATCTTAGACTTAACAGGATCGAAACAAAAACGTGAACAATGTTTCATCAAAACTTCAAACTTGATATACTTGTCAACTAGTATAATTAAAATGAAACTAATTACTTAAATAAAATTGTGACTTTTTGCAATCATTGTTTTCTTTGATTGTCAACACAATTCTTATATAATTTTTATATTCTGAAATAAAAAGCAACCGTTGACTTGACAAAGTTAAAATTCAAATAAATTAATTTTCATTCCTCAAAAAAACCTATGACAAAAAATGCAAATTAAATAGACATAAGTTCAATATAAAATTTTAGAAACTTAATTTTTACAATTAGAATTTGATTGTTTATTACCATTAACACACCGCCAATTTAAATCCGAATTTTGTCGTATTTTTTCAAGTCATGGCAACTAATGCACTACTCTATATGTATCCAAAATATAGCAGATTTCAGTTGTTTATGGTATCTAAATATTTTTTTAAGATCTTCTTGGTGAATGAGATATGTGAAAATATTGTTCAATCTAAAATAAACGTATTTTTCTGTTTGTTTAATTAAAAACAAAAAAAAGAATGATTAAAGGGTTGGCTAATACAGATATATATATATATATATATAAATACAGATTCATATCACAATAAAAAAACTACTACCAAACAGATATTTCTAGTTAGAAACAGCATGGGTCGAAGCTCATTATGATTTCACTTCTTTATTGTAAACTAGAAAAGATAGAATGCCAATCTAATTACTATGTCTGTTACAATCAATTTTGTCTAACAATGTATAAACAAATACATCAAATAGATCACTTTAACTTAATTTTCAAGTATAACTAACAACACAACATTGTGTTGCAATTAAATTTGCATAAAACATAAACATTTTAATTAATCTGTAGTTAGAACAACCAAATCGTCAAACTATTAGTTACGAGAATACATATAAGGAGTGTTTTATTTTTTAAGTTTGGCATCAAAGCTATCCATGAATGTTCGAATGTGAACAAACCATCGTACTGAAAGTTATTAATCTGACATTTGAAACCTCGCCGAATGCATTAAAAATTTTGATCCGATCACAACACACTCATATCACCGCCAATTATGGTGCCAAATTTATATAAATAAATAAGCACAATGTATTAATATGAAACTTTAAATTACTACAGAAGAGCACAAAAAGCAATTAAATCTTGTATTTAGCAAAATCAGGCCATTTTATTAATAACTTTGTACGAATAAAAACAAAATGATATCAAAAGCAGAAGCAAAGGTTAAATTTAAAGCGAAATTAAATTAATGCAGATTGTAGGCAGTTTCGGAGTCGTTTAGTCATTAAATAGATTAACCTGAAAACGTCTGTAGGACTCGTCCTAAGCTTATCGAATTATTTTTTATAGCTTCTACCTTTACAATACCTCTCCGCTCTGCCATATAACCAATGAATAATTTATCAAGCAGTCAAAACAAAAATTCACAATATTGATTGCATTTTTAAAGTGCAAACCTAAACTAGTCAAGAAAGAATGTTTCATTAAAAACGAAATAGTGAAGTAACGCAGCAGCAAGCACCATCTGCATATCAGTTCACGCTCTATTGGTTCGAGTACTTTATGCATTATGTATCTGGCACGATTAGCTCCATCTCTTTTGGTGAAAACTGGTTGACGAGATATGAAATACCAGCGGGGAAATACCTGTAATAGTTGAACCATTAATGCCAATTTCGATTGCAATTATCCTCATTATGTTTGCGTTCCGGTATTGAAAAATGGTCGAACAACAGGTTAAAATGTAACAGCAACGAACCATTAGGCGAGCTTCGATTCTTCTATTTGTTTTAGATGCGAACCCGAATAATGGGTATTGATGCATAATGCATAGGATATGATTCAATATTCGCTTCATTATCAAAAATAGCCGACGCCAACAAACCCGGTATTATTTTACAATTTAACAGGAATTGCTCGTTATCATCCTGGAGGTTTTCAAAACCGTTCGCGAGATTTTCGCGCAAACACACCCTGAAATTACACTTTCAGATCAAAATTCTTTATACAGACGCGACAATGCCTCACGTACGGCTTTGTCATCATTTTATATTAAAATCATAATTTTCTTTTATTGTACAGATACTGCAGTAATAAAATAAAATATGCTCGTAATAATTATAACAAACTGGATTTTCATATTGTTGTTTATTAAGTCATTAATTTACATAATCATTCATCACGTGTATGAAATGACATCGGCCATTTATCACCTTTCCACCCTGTTGTTCTAGATGGACACAACTACAGAAACATCATTTACCCAAACATCATGTATACACTTAATAAATAATTACATGTTTGCTTTTTAATTTATTGTACCAAATTATATCCTACTGACAACACAAAATAGTACTGCATCACTTTTATAGAAAATTTATAATTAACAACGTTCAATTTTGTAAAAATACGTGCCTTAACCCGGCGCCTCCACCATTTCTAATTGTTTGCTCATGTCTATCGTCTGTTGCAAGATAGTTGCGATATAACAGACAATAGGTTCCCAGCAAAGCAATTTTTAGCACAGAAACCTCCATAATCATAACGAACTGCTATTTACTGTAAATAGCTTTTAGAAAGTTGGACCCTCGTCAGCTGTTCCTCTTGAGGTGAAAAACCGCAAGTTAGCTTCACAAACCGCCATTCATATTATTGCCCTCGGCTTTAACATAATCAACACTACAAGGCAAACATTTCTGGCACTTGACAACACATTTTGTAAAGCTACATCCTCGCCTACACGGTGAAAGGTCACTGTTAAATTGTCAAATTGTGAGGTGTTAGTAATATAAAATTTAATGAGAGTAAATTTTAAAAGAAAACTCTGAAGCTTCCTCTCTTTAAAAACTAATACAAGTAGAATAATGCAGATCTGACTTAATTGCATTTAAGTAAATAATGACATTCATTATTTTAAAGAAGGAAAAAGAGAATCATAAAACTAATATTATAATTAAATTTCATTGTTACACGGTTTATTCTAATCGTAAAACCTGCAAATAAACTTTTATCGCCAAAGCTATTACTAAAGTAATTTCCATTATTAAAATTTAATCTAACGTTACAAATGTCAGGTAGCATAAATCATTTTGCATTTTCCACCAAATAAAAAAATATTATTTACTTTCTACAACCTAAGAATAAAGCTATAGCAAAATATTCACACAACAATAAACTAAGCACTTAACAAAAGTAATTAAGTTTAGAAAAGAAAAAACCTGAGAGTTACAAGTTACAAGTTACAAGTTTTAGCCATGTCATCAAAAAATAAATTGCATACAATGTAAAAACACATTTAAATTGCAAATTTATGTCAGGAATATTGAACATTGTTAACACAATGTGCAAAATTATCTACAATCACCTAATTATTTAAGCAACGACATTCAGTTTATGTAAAACCTAACATCGATTTAACATAAACAATAATTTAAATAATAATTTTATTATATCAAATTTTTACCAATCCTATATCTACGATTATTCAATAATAGCTAGAATTACATATCATATGAATAAAACATAAAGAATCAAAGACATTTTGCTTAAACTATTTATTTTTTGAAAAACTATTTGATGAATGATGAAGTACTATAAAAAAAAGTTTTATCAAAAATAAAATTAATCGAAATTTTCTTTTGTTTATAAATTCTGCATTTTTTTTTATTTTTTAACACACTAAAATCCTTTTTTAAAAAGCTATAATCTAAATAATCTGAAAATTACAACTATCTACAATCTATTCAATTTTTACCAAAATAAATTTTCATGTAAGTTTTTTTTGAAGAAAAAAATTGTATAACTCAAAAACAAAACAAAATTTCATTTTCAAAACACAATCACATTTTTTATAACACTCTAATTTTTATTAATAATTACTTTCTGAAGGCATATAAAAACACGTTTGATTTCATAGTTTTTATGCAATACTTTTTAACTAACGTTTAATAGAAATTAATGAATATCATGAACAAAATTATACAACAAAATTAATTTTCCCTTTTTTTCAAGAGTCACTAATTAATTGCTTATTCATAAAACAGTGTGAAAATAACTGAGAATACAAGAAAAATGTCCGTGTACAAGACTTTAATAAGCAATTAATTATAACGGCAAATAATCAAAGACAAACTTATATTTTTCACTTGACTTCTTTAGTATTACAAAATCTGTGTACAAGCTTTTACTGAATTGAGCTGATCTGAGTTTAAAAACTTGAAACTAATCTTCAGTTTTGTATTGCCATTGGACATAAACAATTTTTTTATTATTTTGTAATCAATTAATCAATAATTCGATTAATAAATTAGTATAGTTATAAAATCTTATGTTACGATCACTTCAATGTTTATTTCCGATACTATTGTGGTGCTATTATGAAAAATGTACTTAAAGATTCATAACTGGCACGCAACCACTTCCAATAATAATTAATAACAGAGAAAGTACGAGTATCATAAAATTATTTCAAGAACTCTGTTATTAACCTTAATCTATTTATTTAAATATTTGATATACACAACACAATTTAATCCACTTAATAGAAAGATGTTAAAACCACAAAATCTATATTTTATAGTGAGCGCCAAATAATGTTTCAGAATTTTCGTGTAATTTCATGATTATTTTATTTTCAGGCCGCCGCCATGTTGGCCGATTATTGGCGTCTCCTCCTTCTGCTATGGATTCCCCCCATTCTCTTAGCCACTTCAATGGAAATAAGTAAGTACGAAATCAAACATACAAAAACAAACATATTGGAAGGCAATAGAGACTCTGAAGACTTGTTGATAGTAACAAAAATTCTGAAGCATAAGTGAGCAAACACTCTAAAAATATTGACTAGCTGCTGCAAGTCCTTGAGTAAGACAAGAGGATAATTCCAAAGACAAAGCCGAATATTGGGGGAAAGTTTCCTAAATTCCGACACCACACTGTCATAACATGCGTAACACACGTTCAAACTGCTCCAGTCGAGGACAAATTCATGAAGCAGTACACTGTTCAATTCGCTAGAGTGAAACTTGAAACTGTTTTTAATTTAAGTCGTGGCGGTTTAATTAATTTTATTGCGGCAAATAAATAGGACTAAGGGGGCCCAAGTAGCCGGTAATAAGGTAAAGTAATAAGTACAGACAATTTTCCGGAGCTTCGCGCTTTAATATCGCGGCATTTAAGGCTAAATAGTGGCCTCTTTATCTCTAGTATGGCAGTGTGTCAAGCAGGAACTCCCCCAGGTCTCATATACATAAAAATATTCGTATTTATCCAGCACGGCAGCTGCATATCTCCGTTATTAATTCCTACAATAACCATAGACAAATTGCCTTGGACCCAAGCTGCCGTATTTTTATCTAAATGTGCGCCGAAATTTCAGCCATGATCAAGGGAAGTTTAACCTAATAACGCTCCATTATTCATTCCAAGGATCCTTTCTTCCCAAATTCCAAGATCAAGAAGAGATGAATTTTTTCAATTAACTTCCATATAACTGAGCAGCCCAGCGCAATAAAACATAATACGAGTGGCTCGCTTTATAATGTATCTCTCCAACACTTCAAAGACACGAATTCATGTTTAAATGTCTTAAATATTAAGGTCTTGTGTCAACAGGCGTGACCTTGCAAATAATCTAATCGTGCAACACACTTTAAGAGGGAGATGTAACGATGATTTAATGCTTCGAGAGCAAAAATGGCGAAAACGTGATACGTGGAAAAAATAATAAAAAGATTAAGGTCAGCAGGACCTGAAGTTTTTACACAAAGCTCATGCATACACTGTTTGATCAGACAAGAAATAGCAAATATATTTCAGTGAAAGCAGCATGAATGTTTTGACGTCTTTATATAAAATATAAAACGACTACGTGTTTGGGGTGCAGAGAAGTGGACTGCTGGTAGAGGGGCGCACGTAAGAACCCGTTTAATCTTCGTCCGTCTAGCTCAACTAGAGCCGGATGCAATTTAAATTGGGAAAGTTCGAGCTTACATTTTTACTTGAATCTCCGAGATTCGTTAGGCGTCGGTTAAATTCATTTAAATTTTACATCTCGCAGATGATAGTTTAATCTCTACAAAGAAACGTAAAGATTACGGAAATGAATTTGGAACAAGGAGATGACATTTAATGCAAAGAAATTAATGAAGACGCAACGACGATTCATTTTTCACTTTTTTTATACTGTCGAAACGATTTTTACGTCTCTTCGAACGACTCATCGTTATGCATAGCCAAAAAATGCTAATGTTGAGGTTCCTATTAAATTTTCTACAAACAAAGCTTTCACCAATTGGTTATTTGGACAATAATTACAACGAATCAGTTTCGTTACAATATGTTAATAATCTCTGATTTCATTGTTTTGGGAAATTGCAATCGCTATGTGTCCAACCAAATTATTAATTAAAAGACAACAAAACAATGAGTCTAAATAAATATTAACAATTTTGGTATTTATAAACACACCTCCTAAGGGCGAGCAGTATTATAATTATTCTATTTTCATAATATATTCAAATAAGCCAGGAATCTTAAAAGCATAAATTATTAAGTAAGCTTCAATGCTTTTAACATAGCAACAAAAAGTTACATTTCAGTTGCGAGTATGAATATCAAGACCCATTCAACACATTCTCTGCGAGATCTCTCAGCTCCAAGCACAGAAGTTAGGCTACTTCTAAATTGAAAACATTTTATCTATTCTGCTCGATACACCTTCCACTCAGATGAGTGACGATTATTTGAAATTCTGTAGCTTCTCACACTGTCGAAGTTTTTATTTGATTTAATTTTTTAAGGCGCATTCGCTCCAAACACAATTTGGAACTTCTAGTGCTTCGTACAATTTGACTCTATGGAACGAACTTAAAAAAAAGGTTATTTCTTTTTGCACACTGGAAACAAATTATTGATTTTCGCAACAAAATTTGGGATCTAATTAGATAAAGTCGTAAAAACAGTACACTTAAATAAATTGTTTTGCGTGATATGGTAAAGGTGTATTTAGCAAATTCTGACTCCTGGCAATTCTCTCCTGCCGCTTGATTGATTCTAACAATTACTCAACGACCTCAACCATAATTACCAAATGAACGCAACGGTAACACTCTCACGCACGCATTGGAGTATTTTTAAATGTCCACACATCAATTTTATAGAGCATTAAATTTCTCGCGTCGAAATAAATTGGCAAGTATTATTGCAAGCGAATTCAGTATCACTCTCGTCATTTTTATCGAGGATTAAAAGCCAATACTAAAAAATACAAAAATCAACAACGTAATTCGACAGGAAATGTAAAATTTTTAATAGGAAAATTGAGAAAAAAATAGTTAACGTACGTCAATCGATTGAAATGTCTAGTCACGAGAAGATCCCTTTTGAACTAAATTTATTATTAAAACAACAAAACGTAGAAGAAATTGAGAACCGATTTGAAATTAAATACGAGAGCTTTAGTGTCGAAACACTCGAAGAGATTGAAGAACCGGATCCCGAGTGCCTGACTAATGAAAAAACTAACTTGGCATTAACACTAACAAAGTGGCAAATCGAAGAGAATTCCTTCTATTCAAAATATAAGTCGATTTGGGATGAGTATGAGTTGCTCAAGAAGAATTTGGAATGTGTATACCATTACTTTACTTGCATCAAGCTGACGGCAAAAGCCACGAAAGAGATGGCAGATATGATAATAAATTTAAACAGCGAAGAAAACAATGAAGTTTTTCAAGAAATTGAAAATGACCATTTCGAGCATGAGGTCCTGGAGCTGATACACAACAATGAAATTAAAGCAAGTTGGGATGAATTCGAGCGGTGCAAAAAGAACCACGACATAGCCACAAAGAATTTCAAAATATTACTAGAAATCATCGATTTTGGTTGGGAGGACTTGAATAAGTTGAAAAAGCAGTACGACGACGTTTTCTTAAATTATCAACACGCACAATCTGAGGTGGAGCGGGTGTTACCCTCCGTGCTGGAAAAGATGAAAGTGATATTTCACAACTGCTTGCATTTGTTAGGGGGTAACGTAGGGAAATTTATCAAATGTACCAGTAGTTTATGTAGCCTGATCCAAAATCCCACTGATCAATTAGACAATAAAAAAACCACTAACAATTAATTTCAGTTTGTGCGTTATTTCAAACTTCGGTAAAATAAATAAAACTGTCTGAAATATAGCCGATTTTACAGCAATGTTAATATTTAATTTAACTTGAATAATAATTGGCATCAAAGTTGACAGAAAGGAGGCAAGAATATTACCGCACGTAAAGTTTCAAATACGCTATCGACCGTTTCACAACCACTGCTGCAAAACTGAAACATAACGTAGGAAAGTTTACGTTGATCTTGCTGTTTGCACTGTGTGGCATGTTTTGTTGCGGTCGAACAAAACCCGGCAACAGTATTGCATCGTAAACTTTTTAATTAGACTAGCTACCAGTTTTATTAAAAATTCAAAGTAATTAGGTCTATCAATTAAAGTTTTTACCGGGTACGGCGTTAGTTGTAATTTAAGAATTAGTTGTGTGACTAAATTAAATTCATACTTGTTCAAAAGACTAAAAGCACAGCTAAAAGGTTTTTTAATGGGCATAAATGTTTTCATTAAGAATTTAATTTGCTGTTCCAGACCTATGAGTAGCCGCGTTTATCAGCGTGACATGAAAACAAACTAAAAGTTTCCTACTCAATTCCTGTATTGCATTAAAAACACTTACATTTGCCATGTTCACAAACAAACTAGGAAGAAATAACTACACGAAAAATTTAATAAAGGCCTATTTACATAAGCGTATTTAAAGTTCTTATAGGGAACACAGAAACAAACACACTTGACTTAAAGGAACAAAATTTCAAGTTTCTACAAAAAAACTCAAAATATGAATTCTATCATAGATTTCTTATAAATAACAGACCAATTTTTAAAATACGTTTTTGGGTTTTTTTGTACTTTTTTAACACCACATCACATGCCAAATCAATGCTATGTTTTAGTGAGCCAAAAATCAATTCTTTGAATTTTCAATAGACAGAAATCCACTTAGTTATTATTTAAAATAAAAACTACTACATCCGTGGTAACATCGAACTTCAACCCACTTTTATAGAACCACACAAAATATAATTAAAAATATAATTAACTTTTGGGTTAAAATTATCACAGAAAAAATAATGTTTAAGACGTTAAGGCTAATACTTCCTGAATGTGTGTGTGGGTATTTCCCGTCAATCTTTCACATAATGCAACCAATGTCAGATATAAACCTTATCCACATTTCGCAATGATCGATGTTGACGCAAGTCTTTACGGTTAATCATCAGTCACGCTTGTTAAGGCATTTAAAGCATTTTTACAGTAAAGTTGATGCGGATAATCTATCACTTTCCTACAATACAAAACTTACGTCACATCAGAAACCGAGTTTAAAAAACCTTGATGTCGACATAAAAAAGTATTTCCTGGCGGAAAAAAAAAACATTTGCATCTCAAACTGTTATAAAAAGACGTCAAAGTTGAAAAAGCATCAGTGAAATTATTTGCCAGATTGGAGTTCGCAAGAAAGTAAAAATATAGTGGTTTTGCATTCATCGCTTTCTAAGTTATCGGCTTCGTTTTGAAAGTAGTCTTAATAAGACTGTTCGGAGGAAAACCCCATTTTGGTAATAACTTTTCGAACAAATAAGGACTTTTACAGGGTAGAGAATAA